GGGAGTGAATAGAACCATGTTCGTGCTTAACCTTTGAGGGTAGCTGGGAAGACTTGACATAAGAGCGCGTCAGAGGCTTATTGGATGTGCATTATGGTCCTATAATGATCGATATGTTTGTACGGGTCAGATGTCCCATCGTATGAATCGATGTTCGGTAGTTTGAAATTTGCTGGAATGGGGTGTTGAAGGTGGCTTCGGTCAAGGGAGATGACTCCTGAAAATCTCTTTGACGAAGAGATTGTCTTATATCTCCAACGGGGAACTCCTCTCAAACTAGTCTTCGTAATTCATGCCATAGGGTATTACAGGGGAGTTCGGCGACGTGCCGTCGAGCTAAGTCTTTTGGGACATCCGGAGGAATATGATGCTGGCGGCCTGTTTGCGAAGGATGGGTAGAGCTTGCTGTGTCTGCAAGCTCATTTTGTTGATGTGTTGGAGGGCGTATCCTTTTTAGAGGAATAGGAACTTCGAGATGAAGAAAATCTTCGTACTCTAGCGGGTCTCGAGGGAGAAGAACATCTTCTTGGGGTGCCAGTGCTGGCCCTCGAGCCTCTCGTAAGAGTTGGAGAATTTCATTTTGCGAGTCCTCCATATTTCTGATACGATCTTCCAGGGATGGTCTTGAAGTCCCTTCTCCGGCAGGGTTTCGACCGCCGAGGTGAAAAGAGGCAGATGTCTGGCATCCTTTATTCAGGGACTTATTCTGAGATTAATGTGAGTTGGAGCGGGAGGCTCCTAGGATGCGATTACTATGCCTGTTGACCATGGCGGTGATGCTTTTAGGATAGTGGGATTAGTTGATTTCCCACAGATGGCGCCAAACTGTTGTGGGCTAGAATATACGCGGCGATAGAGTTTTAATCATTCATCTTAACGTTATATGGATATCCAGCTCATACACATAGAACGCAAGATTTTTTTAATTGGAAAACCCTTGAAAAGGGAAAAACCACGGGGCCTAGCCTAGTTGAAAATATTTTACTAGAACTTGAGTTGTTTATAATGGGCTGACTCGTCTCTGAGGACGATCATATTACAAGTAGCAATTATATAATAGAAATCTGGGTGTAGGGTAATGATCTGGCAGGACTTTGGGTCTTAGATGATGATCTGACAGAACTTCGAACCTTAGATAATCATCAGGAAGAACTCCAAGCCTTAGATGATGGTCTGACAGAACTCCAGACTTTTGGTGAAGTTCTGGCAGAGTGTAGGACGTTTGACGAAGGCGAGGTCCTCAAGTGGTGGTCCGACGAAGCACATGACATCAGATGGTGGTCTGGTGGAGCATAGGGCGTCCGGTAATGGTCCGGTGGAGCACAGGGCGTCAGGTGGTGGTCCGGCGGAGCGATGGCATTAGGCGGTGGTCCGGTGGAGCACAGGACGTCAGGTGGTGGTCCGGCGGAGCGATGGCGTTAAGCGGTGGTCCGGTGGAGCACAGGGCGTCAGGTGGTAGTCTGGCGGAGCGACGAGGTTAGGCGGTGGTCCGGTGGAGCATAGGGCGTCAGGTGGTGGTCCGGCGGAACTCCGGCTGTGGTTCGGCGTTGGTCCGGCGAAACTCCGGCGGTGGTCGAGGAGGCTAGGAAGCAAGAGCGATATCCGATCTCTATCTTTTTTCCTTAGGCTTAGGGGTCCCTTTTCAAGAGGAGAGGGGGCTCTATTTATATGAAACTCGTGCAACGCTAAAACATAAAGTTTCTCGTATTTACCACCACGAATATTCTAGCCCGCAATAATCATGCACTTGCTTCCTTTCATTATGGTTAGAAATGCTCACGTAAGTAACAATATCTTCTCATTACCTTCACATTTATTAGTAACAGTCGATTACAATCCATTGTCCAAAGATGAATACACTAATGAAATATTTGGCCATAAACACGATGTGTTGTCCTAAATTTTTTAGTTGGCCATAATAATCTACATTGAATTCCCCTTATAAGGTCAAAATATGTTTGAACCTCAAATATGATTAATTATATGAGCATCACTAAGGGTTCTCTAAGTATATTAAAATGAGTTCATTCATTATCACTGTCTAAAAAGATCAATAAAAAATATTATTTTATTGATTAAAATTTAATACATTAAACAAATTTAATATAATATGTATTACATAATATATTTATTTTAATTAAATTATAGTTTTAATTAATTATTTTTTACATTAAATTTTATATGTATTTAAATTTCAAATCAATACAAAAATATTTTTCTAATACAAAAAATTATAATAGATTTTACATATTAATTATTTAATTCAATATTACTTTACATAATTGTTAAAAAGTATCATTATAATATTATATATTTACAATTTAATAATGATGCGCATTAAATTATTTTGCATTTTTATGAAAAAAATGTTATTTTTTAATGAAAATGCAAATGAAAAATCATTTTGCATTTTTTTGAAAACGCAAAATATTTTTACGTCTTTACTTATTTTTAAATTTATTTTTAATTACGTTTATATCCTTAAGTTATCTTAAACCGTCGTCTAATTAAGGCTTCGTTTGGGACGGCTTTTTCATTGCTTTCTAAAACGGAGTTTTAGTACAAAAATAAAAAAATTTGTATTAAAACTCCGTTTTAGAAAGCAATAAAAAAGCTGTCCCAAACTAAGCCTAAATTTTTGCCCAAAAGTTTTTTGGTTAATCGACCCGTAGAATTGGGATTTTAATTTTGTTCGGTTGACCGGATGCAAGAAACATCTGGTCGTAAGCAAAAAGAACGCGGTACCGAGGTGTACCGAGTTTTTCAAAAAAATCGGTACCGAGGTGTACCGAGTTTTTCAAAAAACTCGGTACACCTCAGTACCGCGTTCTTTTTGACTCCGATCAGATGTTCGTAATAATTGTTCATAGAAATGAGAAGTAAAAAAACGTAACTGCGGTACATCAGAAAAAAAGTGTTGAGGCAAGCCTCAACGGCTCTTTGCCTTAGTCTACCTGCAACTCTCGCGGAACTATCTAAGGACAATGTTGTCCGTCAAGTCGCACGTGGTTTCAAGTTTCACTACCAGGCGTTTATTTTTCTAGTAAGATGTTCCGGTGGAACACCACATCCAAGGCCGCCGCTCATCGATTTGAAATGGAGCTCTTCTAATTTCTCTCCCAGATCTCACTCTCCTCTCTCTCTATCTCTCTCTTTCTCTTCTACCTTTAGCTCTAGTTCTTTGGCTCACTCTCTGCGGCTCGGTCATCCATGGAACCCCTGCAAACCCTATCTCCTTCCCGCAGATTGGCGTCTCCTCTTGCGCCTCGTTCACTCCCGGGCAGCGCCTGCAAAACTAGTTCTGTTCTTGCGAATTCCAGATCGGGCCGGGAAAACACCCCACCGAGCCATCCGAACGTACAGATCGATCGCTCATCTTCAACTTTGGCTCCTAAGAAGAAATTGAAGCATCGAGTCGCTCCTATCGTTGAGGCAAACCCTGCTATTGATGGTCCAGAAGAAAGATCTGTACCGCCCTCCGATGATTCAGTCAAGGTCTCATATCCACTTGTGAATTCTAGCGTTTCTACCTATTCTCTTGAATTTCTTTCTTTTTCTTCCCTTGTCTCGGATTCATCCCAAGATTTGACAAAATAAGCCGAAAGACGTTTTAAATATAAAAGAAAAAATATCTACGCAACTTCTCTTCCGTGCCACTACACTTTTCTGATTAAGAATGTTAAAGATTTGGAGATTTACAACGTATTACTGAACTTCTATGTACTTTTATATGTATCACCTAAATTTTTAAATTGAATTAGATAACACTATAATGTTTAAATGACTTCAACACATTTCACTTTAGATATGTCAATTTTAGTGATATTTTTTATCTCATTTAAAGATAAATTAATCTAATTATCTTCTTAAAGATGAAAACGCTTTCTACTGGGTATCTTCAGGTAGATCATTTCAAAGTTTCACTTTAGGAAACCTTTAAGCTGATTTCTTGGCATAATTTTTGGGTTCCCCTTTTTAAATTATGAACATTTTTTTGGTGGGGGGAGTCTTCACTTAGATCAATTTCCAGTGGGCTGATTTTAAGCATCGAAACTTTTCACTTTAATTTTTATTGGTTCTTTGCAGGTTGTTGTGAGAATTAGACCAGATCAAGAGAAAGAAGGCCGCCGAATTGTTCAAAGAATTACCTCTGACACCTTGTCAATAGGGGATCAAACATACTCTTTTGATTCTATACTTGATTCAAGGTCTTCTCAGGTACAGATCTCCTGCCTCATCCCTGTCAAGATATGTTCGGAAGTCTCTAACATGACAATCATTTAATGCTTTCAGGAGGATGTTTTCAATTTAATTGGAATACCTTTGGTGAAAAACTCCTTGTCTGGTTTCAACAATTCCATAGTCTGTTACGGACAAGTATGCTTTCTATTGTCAAGCATGTCTTTTTCTCATGTATTCTTTGGAATTTGCGGCTAAGTAGTTAATGAAGCAAAACTCCCTGATTCTATGGACAGTCCGGAACTGGAAAGACATACACCATGTGGGGTCCGCCTAGCGCCATGGTTGATGGCCAATGCCTCAATAGCTTGCAAGGCATTGTGCCTCGTATCTTCCAGATGCTCTTTTCAGAGATCAACAAAGTCTGTATTGTGTTCTCACTCTTCATTTTTCCGATCTTCCTCAATTTACTGCATTGGTTGAACAAGAGTACATATGTAAATAAATCCCTTTCACAACAACAAAAGAAAATATTTTTCATTTAGTTCTTCCCTTTTATACGAAGAATATCGATGAAGTTTTCATAAGTCATCAAATTCTTGAACTACGTTCATTTATGTATCTCTCTGTTATTTAAACAGAAGGAAGCAAGTTCTGAAGAAGTACAAACAAATTATCAGTGTCGCTGTTCTTTTTTTGAGGTTTGATCCATCTTACACAATTATGAACTACGTTAGTTAAAATAACTTCTTACACTTATTTGCTTACTTTTTCTTTTTTTCCCTTCATAAAATTTTGTTTTGTAGATATATAATGAGCAGATGAATGATCTACTTGATCCAACTCAAAGGAACCTTCTGGTAGATTAGTTGTTCTCTGACATGGACATACTCATATCTTTGGCTTAGTTTTTTCCTCCCGTAATTTTGATTTGTTATATAAGTTGATCATCATTCTGAGCAGGTAAGGGATGAGACCAAAGGTTCTTTCCAGGTTGAGAATTTGAGTGAAGAGTATGTTAACACCGTTGAAGATGTCACTCAACTTTTGGTGAAGGTATTCACAACAAGCAAGTTTATTTGTTTCAATTTTTATTATGAACATTGGGAATTTACTGACTGCATTTAGCAAACTCTATTTTCTTTTCTGAAATGCCAGCTGATTATTACTAAAAGATCTATCCTCAAAAGAAATACTTCAGAATATCTTGAACAATTTTATGTTAGGATAGGGTTGCATTCCACTCGTGAACCCTAAGTCTAGTATCGCTGTAGACTTGTTTATTAATTGCTGTTTTGCTTTCCATTGCTGTGCATCCACATGAACTTAAATTTTTTTTTTCCAATTGCTGGAATTGCTCTGGCTTGTAACTGAGATAATAAGATGCGATGCCTTATTTTAATACTTCCCACATTTAGTTTTGTATATTTCCTGTTGGGGAAGATGAGGAGTAAACACCAAAATGACGAAACAAGCAAGAAAGTAGAAGCAGCGGAAAAGTAAATGATACCAGGATTTAATGTGGAAAAACTCAAAGTAGGGAAAAAATTGCGGAGCCCCACCACACCAAGAAATCCACTATGAAAATCAGGAGAAATAAGTACAAATCTCTCTTCTCTCTCACCCTCTCCTTACTTCTCTTCTCAAATGCACCCTTTTCAATGTCTACATACTCAAAATACAAGAGAAAGCTAAGTAAAATAATCCCAAGGGATGGAACCCTTAAAAAAATGAAAAAGAAAACCATCTAATCTGTTTTGCAGTGCTGTGAAGCCAGATTGTGGTGCTGTGGTGCTCAAGCCTCTATCTTACACCGCTGTAGCGCTGTATCTATACCATTGCGACATTGTACTCTCTCTCATTCAGCGTTGGGGCGTTTGAGAACACAATGCTGGGGCGCTTGAGTACACAGTGTTAGGGCGTTGTTCGAGAAAGTTTTTTTTTCAGGTGCAAACCCAAGCAGGGGCACCTCCCAATGAACAAGACAAACTTTGAGGTTTGAGACAACAAAACAACTAGATTGATCAACACAATCAGATTCCACGCATAATATTTCTATTTAAAACCAATCTACCCATATGTTTTGTTCAAAATTAAACTGAATTGGATATCCTGAAGGAATTTATGATAGGCTTGCTCCCATTCGGATAACTATCACTTAAGCACTGACTCCTTAATCATTATAAAGAATAGATGACACATAAAGGCGTCATTAATATTCAATAGAGAGGTCATTGATTCAAAGGTCACCACATGATTAGTTTGATTGGTATTACCCCTGCAGGATTATAGGTGTGGCACCTTAATTTTAGGAGGCAGCCTAATGTCTATGATTTCTCTTGAGAAATCTTTGGCGAGCTTGGGCTTTGCTCTTCTATGTAGCTTGGTTGGTGGGGTGTAGTCCTCATCACTTGTAAGCGTGCGTGTTTGACCAGGAAAGGGTATCATGGTCAATATTTATCTTTTGGTCTCTTGTGGCAAATTACTAAATCAGAAGAACCCCTTAGGGGTGCTGTGTCACACCCCGGTCCAGAAAGCGTTACACCCTGATAACATGGGACATAATGAAGGAATACAAAGACTTGTTTTATATTCATAAAGATAAACATGCATATACTAGTGATATAACAGGATATATACACCATAATAAACAGAGCAAGTGAATTAAAAGCAAATTCATTAATAATATGCAAATAACTAATAAATCCAAATAATAATAGTTCTGATACAAGTTAAAAGGAATGTTAATAGATCAAATAGTAAGAAAGAAAACTACCTAACTCTCAATCAAAAGCAAAATAAACTATTACAAAATATAAAATACAAAAAGTAGCTACTGGTGATAACTCTACAACTGAGGTGACGATTCACTAAATATGCCTATAGGGTATGCTGTAAAAAGAGACAATGGGTGAATTTGATAAATCAAACTCAGCAAGTAACTCCTATTTATTAAAGTATAAATAATAAAAAAATGGGACATGCAGTATGAACAACCAAAGGGTGAAAGTAATAACATATAGTCACTAAAACAAAAGAGTATTGACACATTCCATATTTCCTACAACAAAAATCTAATATGCTAATGCCCTTAATGTGTACAATAAACTACTATCAAAACATAAATGACAAAGGGTGGAAGTAATAACTTATAGTCACCAAAATAAAATAGTACTGACACATGTTATGTTTCCTACAACAGAAATATAATATGTTAATTTCCTTAATGTATACACTAAACTACTATCAATGCAAATTATTTTAATACTCATAAGTGCAACCATACAAGGTGTAATCATACCTCAAAATGACGTATCAATCATTTATTATTTATAATATATATATCCATCATTGAGAAGGTAAATATCAACACAAGAAAATCTAGTGATTTTCTATATAGTCATCACTCTATGGACCTGTCAACCCCAGCTAGTAAAAAACCAATAGGATTCCATCGACATACACACAATCATACAATACAAGTGCTTTTATGAATAACTAACAAACATTATATAAATCATGTTAAATTTGATTAGTAAAATTACTTTGAATTGCAGGAATGAGATTCAATTGATTTAGCAAAACTAAAAATACATGAATTTAAATTCTCCAAGACTTGAATTTAACTTACAATAACTAAAACTAATGAAGAATAGATCAAAGAAAAGAAAAGTTAATTATATCCCATGTTGATTTATTATGAACAATAGCGAATATATACTAAATGTGTGATGATGTTGAAAAAAAATATATAACTAACAATCTAAATAATTATAAAAGAACCTAAATAATTAATTTGGGTTAAAATCCCAAATAATTCGAATCTATTAATATGAAGGAAAAAAATATAAAATATATAATTTTTAATAAGTCTAACTAATTAAAATCTAACTAAATTGAATATGCCAAAACATAGAATACTAATTATCAACACCAAAATTATCTGTTGACAAGAAAAAAAAGGAAGAGAAGATTGAATTTAGTTAGATTTTAATTAGTTAAACCTATTAAAATTTATATGTTTATATTTATTTCCTTTGTATTAACAGATTCAAATTATTTGAGATTTTAACCCAAATTGATTATGCTTGGTTAATATTATTGCGTGGAGGTCTCTATGTTTAAAATAATATACCTTATATTTTCTTAAGCATTAGTTTCTTGATGATTATATTAGGATTTTATTTCTTGTAGGACCTTCTAGTCATTGATCTCGTAGCTTATCGGTTTAACTTCTAATAGGCTTGGAGTTGTGTCGCTTGCATAGAGCCATAGAGATAAGTAATTGTTATTTATTCTGGTGTAAATGTAACCTTCTTTGTTTGGGGTGTAATATGTGTCATTGTAGTAGGTTCTTTAATAATTATCTAGATTGTTAGTTCTATAATAAATTCTTCAACATGATCACACATATAGTAAATATTTGTTATTATTCATAATGAATCAGCAAGTAAAATAATTAACTTTGCCTTGATTTACTATTCGCTAGTTGTTATTCTTATAAGATAAATTCAAGTGTTGGAGAATTTAAATTTATGCATTTTTATATTTGTTAAATAAATTGAAACTCATTCTTGCAATTCAAAGTAATTATAAAATGAAATTTAACATGTTGATTTATTTAATGCCTGTTAGTTATTCATAAAAATACTTAATTGTATGATTGTGTATATCTCGGAAACCCTATTAGTTTTTTGCTAGCCTCAATCGATGACCCTCAAAATAATGACTCTAAAGAAAATCACTGAATTTTCTTGGGTTATGAAAAAATTTGTGTGTGTGTGTGTGTAATTATGAGAAAATTTAAGTAGACATGAATTAGAAATAATAAATGACTGATACATCATTTTGAGGTATGATGATACCTGGTATTGTTACACTTGTGAGTATTAAAATAATTTGCATTGATAGTAGTTTGCTATATGCATAAAGGGCATTAGAATAAATATGGCCTATGTCAGTACTATTTTATTTTAGTGACTATTGGTTTTTACTTCCACCATTTGGTTGTTCATATTGCATACCCCACTCCTTTGTTGTTTATGTTTTGATAGATATAAGTTACCTACCTGTGTCTCTTTTTACCGTAGGTCCTATAGGCGTGTTTAGTGGACTGTCACCTTGGGAGCTGAGTTATTAGTAGCATTCTTTTTCTTTTTGGTATTTTATATTTTGTATTAGTTTATTTTATTTTTTATTGAGGGTCAGATAGTCTCTTTCTTCCTCTTTATTCTATTCCTTTTGGCTGGTATTTGAACTATTATTATTTGGATGCATTAGTTATTTTCTTTTATTGCTGAATTGGATTTTAAACTCATTTCCTTTACTTACTCTCTATAACCTATTGTATCTTATATATTCATATCTCTCTTTTGTGAATACAAAATATGTCTTTATATCCTTTCATCGCATCCTGTGTCGTTAAGGTGTATCGCCTTTCTAACGTGGGGCGTAACATGTCGTATCTTCGTACTCACCCTTGGAGTTTGCCCATGGGGTCTTGAATCATCTTTATTATTCTTTCTTCAATTTCCATTAAGTTGTGGCAAGTGGTGTAATTGATGTTTTCCATGTTCCCAAATGGCTCCTATTGATTTAGCTCGTTGAGTAGGAGTAGACCCATCTTTTTAGTAGCTTCAATTCACACTCACTGAACTCAAGGTTATATTAAATCCATATTTGTCCATCATTGACACTCGACCTTACTAACCTATGTGAGAATGGAGAGTGGACAATAAAGCTAGAGAGGAAGAGAGAATTTGTGGAATGCTCAAGAAAACTATAAATCTAATGCTATCATTGAAGCCAGTAGAATTAGTCAAAGATCTCAAACTGTTCTTCATCATCTCTTATTAATAGGGTTTTGAGGGCTACAGAAATAGATACACAAAAAAAGTAAAGTACAATGGGTTTCTTGCAAATAGGCACTTTCCTGTAACTGAGCTTGGTGAGCTTGCATGAGAATGATCGCTCTGGAAGAGAATGAGTGACTAAGATGAAATGAGGGTTTCTTGTAAATAAGCATTTTCCTGCACCTAAGATTGGTGAGCTTGCAT